TTGATCCCCTGTGGGGGATGTGCAGGAGGCATCTGATCATCGATGTTCCTATCTCTCTATCCCTCTCCCTTCCTCTCTCTAAAGTCAATTTTTAAAAAAAGAAATGAGCAAGTTAAACCCCGCATTCCTGCCTCCTGTTAGCCTGCCTTTCCTGTAAGCAGAGAGTATACTGGTGACAGACTTCCTCATGTATTTCTGGGTCTGCATAAAGTCCAGTGTGGAGTTCAGCATCTTCCTTTAGTGTCTTTTTGGTTCCTCCTGCCCCTCCCACCCTCTCCCCCACTTCAGTTTCTCAGTATCCCCTTCTCCCAAATTCAAACAGAGGACTAGAATCTCTCATTTGTGGGCGAGGAGGCTATTTCCACCAGGCCCACCTTACAGGACTCAAGGAATGAACCGCTAATGGTAAAATCTAACTGATGGCGGGGGCGGGGGGGGAATTTTTTCGAGAACTGGGGCTTCCCCTTCCCACAGAGCCCTACAGTCTTATTCCACGGACAGCTCCACATTCTCCATCTGGAAGGCAAGTTCAGGTCAAACCCAGTTATGTGGATTTCTGGGGCTCCAGCCTGCAATTACTCTCCAGTTTGACCTGAATTTGTTGGTTGCCCTCCCATAAACCCAGAGCCCGATGCTGACAAATGAGCCAGGAGCGCACAGCATAAGCAGTAACAAAAGGTGAGTCCAACATGCAAGGGAAGAACCTTTCTTTAGATAGAAAAGAACGCAACCCACTCCAGGAAGCCGGTGACTCAAAACCACTGCAGAAACCAAGGCAGGGGTTTCCATCCATGCAGAGGACCTTTCTTCCTTAGAGGGTGGTTTTTGCAAAGGAACAAACGAGCAATGTTTCCTGGAACTGGGCGCCCGGACGATGCTTCAGCGTGTCTGTATCCCTGCACCCTGGAGAAAGATCCCATAGCATGCCCCTTAGGGCACGGTGAGAGTCCTGCTTCCCACAGCATTTTGGGAGGTGCCAGAGATGGGCAACATCAACTTTATAAGCTTCAGTGAAGGGAGTGTGGGCATGGGCCCCAGTGCCCAAGGCTTTAATAATGCCCTCATTCTTTCCTCTTGTAGAAGAGCGAAATAATGCACCATTTGAAAGCTGGAAGAAATGCTTGGGACCATGGGTGTATCACCACTGTATCTAGTAAATGGGGACTCTATGGCCCTGGATGGCACGCACAGGGTACCTGTGAATATCAAATGAAAGGACTAAGTCGTCTTTTAAAGTCCTGTAGGATGTAAAACGAAGGGATACAGCGTGACAGGCCCAGAGGAGACTGGAGATATCATCCAGCTCATATTGGACATTAGCCCAAAGCCTGCTGTTGGGTTGGGTTTACAGTTCTCTCTCACTTCACTGGAATGGGGTGTGAGTGGGGGACCTTGAATTCCCTGTTAAACTATCTCCATCCTTGATCCACTTTACCCTGATTTCATCAAAACCCAAGAGAACCGGGTGCTTGGAGCTGAGGTCATTTAAATGTTCAGATGTAGGAAAGTTGTCCTCACAATTTTACAACATCCTGGGCTCTGGCTTGAATCCATTACATTTCACTGTGTTCTTGGAAGAGAATTATTCTTTTTCTTAAGAAAAGTTCCTCTGTCTCCAATTTCCAAGCCTTGAACAGGCCAGAACGGGGTCATCCAACGCCCCCTCCCTCCCACCTTGTGTTTTTAAGCAGACGTAGACCTGGTGTGCAGGTGGTCACACCTGGAAGTCCTGGTAGCGCCAGGAACTTGTTTTCATGGTTGTGACCCCTGAAGGTCCTGGAGTCATTTCCAGAAAAAGAGAGGCCCATGTGACTCAAAGACTATTAGGTGACGTCACTGCTCTTTTCTGGCCAGGCTCAGATGAGCACATTTTAATTGAGGGTTACAAATGTTACAAGCACTCCTTCTGTGGCAGCTTCAACAATGGTAATGATGGTGGTGATATTTTTTAAAATATATTTTTATTAGAGGCCCGGTGCACGAAATTCATGTACTGGGTGGGGGGAGCCGGGGGGTGTCCTTCAGCCTGGCCTATGCACTCTCACAGTTGAGAGGCCCCCCCCCCCAATCAATCGCCCCACAGAGGGTGGCCTGGGCCTCCCTCTGCAGGGCGATTGTGGGGCAATGGCGGGGCCCCCCAACCAATCGCATTGCACCCGCCTTGGCTGGCCTGGCGCCAGTGCATGTCACAGCATGGTCGTCTGGACGGACGTTCTGCTGTTCAGCCATTCCGTCGATTTGCATATTACACTTTTATTGTTATAGATTGATTTTGAGAGAGAGAGGAAGGGAGAGGGATAGAAAGATAGGAACATTGATGCGAGAGGAACATCATCAATCAGTTGCCTCCTGCATGGCCCCTACTGGGGATTGAGCCTGCAACTGAGGTACGTGCCCTTGACCGGAATCGAACCTAGGACCCTTCAGTCTGCAGGCCGATGCTCTATCCACTGAGCCAAACCAGCTAGGACAATGGTGGTGATAGTTTACTGAGTGTTTGCAATGTACCCATTGCCATGCTAAACAGTTTAAATGCTTTATCTTGTTTGATACTTGCAGGAAACTATAGGCTTGGTATTATTATAATCCCCCACGTTCTAGATCAAAAAACAGCTGAGAGATATTAAGCAACTCTCCCCAGGCCACACAACGTCCTTCAGTTTCACCCTCCTCCTCCTCCTCACCTCATCTCACCCATCATCGCCATAACAACCTCTGGTCCAGAGGGGCCCAGGCTGTCGCTGGCAGAGATTAGAGAAGTGACCTCTGTCCTGCGTCCCGACTTAATTCAACATCTGGTGGCAAAAGCATCTTCCAGTTCCTCCCTCGTGTCAGCATCACCAAGGCCTTTCTAGTGCCGGAACCTTCTCTCCCCAGATTATATAACCCTCAACTCAGAGTGTCCTTGACCACACACTTCAGTCAGGCTCCTCTGACTCCTCTTCCCAACCAGGCCCCGACTTTTGGACTTCCACGTCCGTCCCTGCATGGACCAATGTTAGCAAGCATCCTCTCACATAAGGTTAGCCGCCTCCTGGTCTGTCCCACCCAGTTCCGTCTCGGCCCTCCTCACCAGCCCCTTTGCCCCACCTGGACTGCTCCAGTCCACGCCCCACGCTGCAGTCTGAGAGCTCCCAGAAACACCTCCTTATCTCATTATTCTCCGGCTTAAACCCTCCTTTTCCAGGATAAAGCTCCACATTCTTAGCTCAGTGCTGAAAACTTTTTAAAAATATGTTTTTATTGATTTCAGAGTCAGAGTGAGAGGGAGAGAGAGAGATAGAAACATCAATGATGAGAGAGAATCATTGATTGGCTGCCTCCTGCATGCCCCCTACTGGGGATGGAGTCTGCAAGCTGGGCATGTGCCCTGACCAGGATTCGACCATGACCTCCTGGTTCATAGGTCGACGCTCAACCACTGAGCCACGCTAGCCGGGCAGTGCTGAAACCCTTGACGATCCAGCTCCTGAATCTCAGCAACCCCATTCCCACTTCCCCGACCTCGTGCACCTCTCCCAGCGCTGCTCTCCCAAGGGCACCAGGCGGCCCTGGACATATCCCTCGTGCACTTACTAGTAGCATCTCCTATTCATCCCCCGGAGCTCGGCTCAGGCATCACCGCCTCCAGGAGGCTGCCTGATGCCCCAGTCTGATGGGATGGCCTGCTGTGTCCCCACAGCGTCCTGCACACATCACCATCAATGCTTTTCCAACACCTTGTGAACACCTCTGTCTACTTGTTTGTGTCCCGACTCCTCTAGAGGATCTTTGGGGTGGGGAGTCACTGCTTCTCACTCACCTCACCATCTGCCAGGCACGCAGCAGCCACGCAAGCAGCGCTCGCCGGTAATAGGACGTGCGGAAACTCCCCGGGCAGGCGTACAGCTGGGGCTGAGGAAACCACCCTCCTCCTCACCTGCCCCTTTGCCCTCCATCTGGAGTGCTCTCTACTCGCCTGCTCCTGAGACCCAGCCAAGCAGATGCAATCCAGGGCAGAATCACATGGGTAATTTGCATATGATTTGTTAAAATTTGCATGTCATTGGCTTATGCCTGCAGAATCTAATCTCTGGCTATTTGTTTTTAATGCTGAAGCTGGGTCACTGAGACATTCATTCGGGAAGGTTATTCCCCCTCCTCCCTCTGTGGCTCTTTCCATTCTCCTTTCCCTGCTGGCCGGGTTGCCCTGGCCTGTGCGTGTCAGTGGTCTCTGAGGAGTGGAGAGACGTAGGTAAGAGGGACGTGGGACAGGAGGGGGTGTACGCTTTGCTCTAAGAGCATGAGGAGCACCATGTGTATAAAGGATCTGGACCAGGCTGAGGGCAAAGGTGTCCTTGCGAGGACTCGGCTCTGCTGAACTGGCCCTCGAAGCTGACCCACCCACAGTCTCAAGTGGGTAGGACTCTGGGGGTAAGAATGGATCAGGGCTGAGTGAGGTGGGTGACACCCTGTGGGAAAGACAACAGGACAGAGACTTGAATTCAAAGTCGCAGAATCAGGGCCAGAGACAGGCAAGAGAAAGTGCCCCAAGACCGGCCAGAGATATGTCAAGTTGAAACCAGCCCGCTGAAGGACTGCAGTGGGGAGAGACGCAGGTCAGTCTGTGGGTTACAGAGGATCTCCCACACTGTGGATCCCCATCTAGCTGGTGACACCTTCCTCCCAGGCACTACCTCCTGCCCATCACCCATCCCTTCAGGGGCCGCCCAGCCCTTCCCCTCGTCCTTTCCCACCACAGCTGTAGCAGAAGGCAGCCTCAGGCTGCCCAGCCCAGGAGAGAGGCAGGGAATCTGGGCTGGACCAGCACATCTAGGCTCACCGACGCCGCACGCTTGGTCTCATGCACGAGCGGACACGGTGGCATTTTAGCCCGTCACAGCCGGATAGCATGAAGGCCTAGGAATAGCATGCTACACTCCCCGTGTGAAGCGCCCCGGGCTGCTGGCTGCGTCACACGCTGCTGCGCCAGCCTCCGAGGTGCCAGACATGCTCGCACGATGCCAAAGACGGTCACCGCGAGCCCAAACACTCCTGTGCGTGCCTCCCTTTTCCGTCTGGCATCTGGGAAGTGCGTCTTCCGAATCAGCCTCTTGGAGGTAACATCACCGAGGACCCACAGGCGACATTTCAAAGCAGTTGTGCTCTGAGGTAGCTTTGCATATTAAAAAGAAAACTCACAAAAAGTACATATTTTCAGCCCCTGTAGTTCCCAAACTACTCTAAAGATTGCGTAAGAATCATCCGGAAGGCTGCTTAAAAACATGGGTGCCAGCTCCTCGTCCCCAGAGATTCTGGTTCCAAATGTCAGGGGGCAGGGGGTGGGGGGTAGGGGGGTGGGTCCTGACATCTGAGTCCCTAGGATTCCGACATGCAGCCAGGATGAACCCGCTGACTTAGACCATGGCAGGACGATTCAGACCTGAACTTAAGGCTGTTGCTGCCCAGAGATCAGGTGCAAATGGGCAAGGACCTCTGCAAACAAGGCCCCCAGGTAGGGAAGGTTGGATAACCATTCACACGGTATTCACGCATCATGCTGCAACAAGGCGTGTTAAGGTTTCGGTCAAGTGCAGGGCTGGACTAGGCATGGTCCGCCTGCGTGAGACATAGCCAGTTGTATCTTCCTTCCTGTCGATTTTTTAAAAAATATATTTTATTGATTTTTTACAGAGAGGAAGGGAGAGGGATAGAGAGTTAGAAACATCGATGAGAGAGAAACATCGATCAGCCGCCTCCTGCACACCTCCTACTGGGGATGTGCCCGCAACCAAGGTACATGCCCTTGACAGGAATCGAACCTGGGACCTTTCAGTCTGCAGGCCGACACTCTATCCACTGAGCCAAACTGGTCAGGGCTTTTCTGTCAATTTTTGATAGGAGGAGAGTTTGTCTGCCTATCTGGACAGCCATTTAGGCATCTGATTTTCATTAACCTTCATTAGCAAAATTAATCATGAAGCCTGAGGTGCAAGAAGTTTTGTTTATGTTTATTGTTTATTGTTTATGGCACCGGGCTTCTGAAGGAAGACCTGGGACTTAGGTCAAGTTCCTCACTGAGGTGTGAGAGGAGCCACAAAGTCTGTATGTGTTGTGTTTTGTCTAAAACCTTGCCGGGTTGTTGCTGGGTTGGAAGGTTACCTGTCCATGGTGCTGCTCAGCCCCGTCTCATTAACACCTACCCATCTGTCCCCAACATCCCTGTATCTCTGCCCAGATAGACTTTTACATCTGTCTTAGCAATTCTGGGAGAGACGCTTTAAAGTGCCTTTTCAAAATCCCCCGTTAATGATCTGGTAATTACCGTGGCGACTTTTCAATGAGGTGTGAAGTCTTCAGCGAGCTGTCAGCGGAGAGACTCCCGAGGCCCTGGGAGAGAAACATGGGGAAGAAGCCCTGAGCCTGGGCTGCCTCTGGCCAGAGAAGGGGCCCTGCCTGGGGCTGGCAAGGCCACCAGGAGCTCCTGAGGACAGCTGAGCCCCCTCTGAGTCCTGGGACCAGACTGACTATAGAACTGGGGGGACTACATCCTTGACCTCCACATCCGCACCAGTACCTGGTAGGCAATGCCAAGTCCCATGGCGGCTCCAGGGCGGACCCACACTCCTGCACACAGACTGCAGGGTGTCCTCGGTCCCCTCCCAGAAGAGCCCCTCATTTCACAGTCATTTTAAGCAGTCAGAGCGGCCCTACATGCCCAGGAAGAGCTGTTCATACCTTTCTCCTTCAGATCCACCGGGGCTACATGCGGTCCAGCTGAGCTGCGCACTCCAACATCTGGAAGCCAAGGATGCCACCCACCTCCACGCCTGTGCTCCCCAACAGCCTGCTTCCACTAGTCAGAGTAAAAGGAGCCCCCCCAACCCAGGGACCAAGACAGGGTGTTGGGTATCTCAGTCTGACCACCCCACAGAACAAAGGGGGCTACACAATACATGAAGAGGTTGACACTGGCCCAAGTTCCTGCAACATCTGAGCTGGTCCTCTCATCTCCTGCCCCCACCACCAACAAAGAAGATAATCCTCGTGGGGAAGTGAAATGAGGACCCCCCTTGGCCAGGGAGTCTTATGAAGCAGGTCCCTCGTTTTAACCACTGTGACACCGACACAGGGAAGGTGGCATGACCTGCTCAAGATCAAAGCCTCGCCAGCTAATGCTGGAGCTGGAACTGAAATCCGGGCTTCTCCACACACACACACACACACACACACACACACCCTTGGCCTTTCCCCCAGCGCCCACCACAAGTCTGAGGTGTCTTCATGTTTGCACATGTTGGCCTGGTGTCCCCAAGAGCCTGGGGGGCAGGGATGGCTAGTCCAGCTGTGCCCTTGGCCATCTCTGACATGTCCTTGGCACAGTGGTGCCAGAATGCAGCTGCCAGTTGTGCTGACCGGTCTTCCTCCCTAACCTGGCTTCTGGGGCCATGGTGCCCCCCCTCCACCTCTGCTGGCCCAGACCTGCTCCCAGTGCTGGAGGGGACCAGCCTACGGGGCGGGGGGGACCCTGGTACACAGCTTCAGGCAAGCTGTCACATGGAGATTCTGACTGCAGGCGTTTGGCCAGCAGCCCAGGTACCAGGAAGCCTGGCCCTGATGGCCCCGCCTGGACTGTTGGCTCCAAGTTCTTGCCTATTCCTGTGGATTTCTTCAGGACTTGAGGCTGGAGGTGGTCCAGCCTGGGCCTCCACCTCACACCTGTTCGCCCGGGGGCAGACCCAGGTCCTCAGCAGAGCTGGAAGGAGCGAGGCTTCATTACATCAGAACAGAAGCCTGCCGAGTGTGCACACTCTCAGCCCATGCAATCCATCCTCTAACTGTAAATAAGGTTAGAAGTGTGATTCCGGCAATTATAAAACCCATCACTTCCTCCTCTTGTCTCAGTCAATTAGAGAGTCTCTTTGCTCTCACTTTGCCACTGGACCTCATTTTAAAAAGTGCTGCTGCAAAAGCATTGCCAACAACTGTACTTAGAGAGCTGCGTGTCTGATGCCAGTTGGCTAAGGGGCTTGGCTTTCGGTCCTGGTTTTGCTGCCAAACAGATTGTGATCTTTGGCAAGGCCAGCCTCCCTCTCTGGGCCTCAGTTTCCCCAGGTATACAATGAGGAGTTTGGACTAGGTGCCCTCTGGGATCCCTTCTGACTCTCAAGGCCACTGGATTCCAGGTTTGCTTGATGACTAAGGATGGCTCCACGTAGACAGGAGTTTAGCTTCTGTTAAGCCAGGAGTTGTCCCTCTCTCTTTATTTCTCAAGTACAATGACCAGTTCCTGAAGGTGCAAATACACCAACATCCACAGCAGTGTAAGGGGAGGGGAGGAGCCACATGCCCAAGTTTCTGGAATTGAAGGTGCTGCCTATCTCTGTGCAGGCCCTGAACGGATTGTTCCACAACAGTCATCTCATTTAACCCTCACAACAGAGCAGCTATTCAGCCCATTTCACAGACAAGAAAACTGAGGCACAGAAAGGTAAAGTCGTGCCTAGCTCCAAAGGCCACGCTCATAGTCACAACTCTCTCAAATGCCCAAGTCTGGGGACTATAGTTGAAAAGGAGAATGGATAGACCAAGAGGCCACCTCAACAAGAAGGGAATGCCAGGCAGGACACCTGCATGGCTGAGCGTGTCCAGGCAAACGGCAGCTGTCCCCCAAGACGTGTGGGCTGGGAGAGCCAGTGGAAAGGGGTGCGGTTAGAAGGCATGAAAGGCTTCGACGAATGTGTGCCAACGATCCCGGTTCTCTCCAATGGGCTCTTGCCCCTCCCCCCATCCTCTGACAGTGGAATGCCAATGGCTTCCTTTGAAGGGAGTGTGGGTGCTGTTGGGAACCAGCAGGAAGTAAATTTGGATGACGCTGGCTAGTGGCTGAGGGGACCCGTTCAGTTGCCTGGGCTCTGGTGACCCAGCTCTGTCTCCCAGGTTTGCCATAATGAAATTGTCAGAATTTACAATGATACATGCTAAGTGACATTTTAATTTTTTATAAGATGGATATAAGAAGTACAAAACATCACTTGCTTTAAGGATTGTCTTTCCAAAAAAATTACTCTAAGTAGCACCAATGTTATAGAAATAAACATCATTAATATATTACCAAAAAAATGTTTTTAAAAGACAGTTTCAGCCCTAGCCGGTTTGGCTCAGCAGACAGTGTCGGCCTGCGGACTGAAGGGTCCTGGGTTCAATTCCGGTCAAGGGCACATGCCTGGGTTGCGGGCTTGATCCCCAGTGGGGGGCATGCAGGAGGCAGCAGATCAATGATTCTCATCATTGATGTTTCTATCTCTCTCTCCCTCTCCCTTCCTCTCTGACATAATAAATAAACAAATAAATGTACGTATCAGGCAGGTTCATCTGACAGATGCTGACCCTGGAAATAAGTGTTCAGTGGTCACTGTTTCATAGAAACCACTCTGCCGTCCCCATCGGTGAGACTGAGTCAATATCCCCGATCTTATTTACCTTTCTTTTAAAGACCTCTCCAAGCAATTTGTAAATACATTCTTTTAAAATCCTTTCATGGCAACCCTGAAGGCTCCCAGGTGTCTCGGGAGCTCCAGACTGGATGTCTGCCCAGCTGAGCAGTGCCCGCTGAGCCCCAGGGTCCCGGTCAGCACTTACCGAGCGCCTACCCTATACCAGGCGCCCTGGGGACCCCAGGGGCAGAACCAAGGACATGGGGACCACAACCCAGGGCTTCATCGGTAAGAATGCTTCCAACTGAAAAACATCCTCCAGAATTTCAGCTCCCTTCGGTTCTCTCTTAGACGCTCTCCATCTTTCCATGGCAGCAGAGGCTTCTTATTTCCTCAAAAAGTCTTTGCTGAAATCTTAGCAGATGCCCAGCATGATGTTCAGGTCTCTGAACAGAAAAGCAACAGCAGCAGTGGCCCTGCCCACCATGTGCCCCGGGTAGCCGCCAGCCAACAAGGAAGGCCGCGGACTGTATTAAGTCCACGTCACAGCTTGAGCTGGCAACGTCGGCCTTGCCCCGCGGAGTGGATTGTGTGGCGGCAAACCTCCCTTCTGACCGCAGTGGTCAGGAAGAGTGAACGTCCACACCTGGAGGTCTGGCTCAGACACTTGGGGGTCACGAATC